TGGGCATGCAGGGAAGCCACAGGAAGGAGGGGCCCTCTGACCCAGTCCTGGAAAAATCAGCATCTATCAGCTGGAGGTAAGGCATCCCAGGCAGAAAAAGAGTGGCAACGAAAAGGGTTGGCAGAGTGGCAACGAAAAGGGTTGGCAGATTGGCTCAAGTGGTCAGAGCACCTGCCTAGCAAGTGTGAGACCCTGAGTTCAAAGCCCAGGATCGCCAAAAAAAAAAAAAAAAAAAAGAATGGCAATAAAGGCCCAGACACTGGTCTAAGCATGCATAATAACTCTACCCCAAGGTTCTGGCCCCAAACACCAGTCACCTAGACCTCCTCAGGGTATGGTCTCAGGAGCCACCAGAACACTTCCTCATGGCCAGTGGAAGAAAGGAATCACCCAGCGGAAGAGGCTGTCTCTGTCTTCCTCAGCTTCACCTCCCCTCTCCCCTGCCTTCCAGCACCCATCAGAGCTCTGTTTGGAGGACCTACATCTCCCTTCTCTGAGTGTGCTACAGCTTCTACTTCCTTCTGGTATATGGTGTACTCATGCTATTGCTTAAGACCCCTCACTAATTGTCAGCATCTCTGGGAAGTAGCACCTGGCCTTCGTCTCCCTTGGGTTCCCAAAGCTCCAAATACAATTAATGCTTACCATGTAACATTCACCCATTTTCCAGGTTCATTTACCTGAGCAGACCGACATCAGGTCTTTTTGTCTTTTTTTTTCAGTGCTGAGGATCAAACCCAGGGCCTCTTGAATGCTAGATAAACACTCTATTAGTGAACTACATCCCTAGTCCCATCCCACTCACACACACTTTTTTTTTTCCCCCCCTTAGTACTGAAATATAACCCAGAGGTTTGGATCTTTTTCACCTTTGAATCCTCACTCAGTTAATCCAGATCCTGTCCCCAGTGCTCTCCACCCCACAACTTTATTTATTGACAGAGTCAGGCTTTAGGGCCCTGTGATAGAATAAGAAGTAAGCCAAATCAACTGTCCTCAAAAAGCTTATGATATTAAAAACTGTAACTAGTAAACTAGTTTATTTATTTTTTTTCTGGTACTGGGGCTTGATCCTATGGCCTTGCACTTGCTAGGCAGGTACTCTACCACTCTGACAGCCCTTTTTTTTTTTCCCCCCACTGGATATTTTCTAGATAACTATCTGCCATGGCTAACTTTGAACCATGATCCTCCTGATCTCTGCCTCCCGAGTAGCTACGATTATAGGTGTGAGCCACCAGCAACTGGCACTAGTTTATTCTTACACAAGTTATGACGGCTAACATTTATTGAACACTCATGTGCCCAGCAGTTTTAAACCCTATACATACACTACTTAATCCTCACAATGACTCTAAGAGGCAGGCATATTACTATCTCTACACATTACTATCTCTATTTTACAAATGAGAAAACTGAAGCACTGACTTCATCAAGGTCATAAAACTAAGCTGGGAATGTAACTCAGTGGTAGAATGCTTGCCTAGCATGCTCGAGGCTCCAGGTTCAATCCCCAGAACCATGGGGAAAAAAGCCACAAAAACAGTATCAGAATCCAGGCAATCTGATTCAGGAATCTATATTATTTTGCACCATAATGCTATTATAGAGAGGGTGCTAGCCAGATGTGGTGGTTCACTTCTGCAATCCCAGCATTTGGGAAGATGAAGCAGAAGTTTGAGGCTAGCCTAGGCTACATAACGAGAGTCGGTCTCTCACAAAAAAAAAAAGGACAAGGTGCTAAGGTGACACGGGGAGGGGGGGGAGGATTTAGTCTTGGTGGGGGTGAAGTGATCTAGAGATGGTGCTTCCTGAGCAGAGCACTGAAAGACAAGTTAGTAGGAAGCCCAGCAGATCATAGTGGCCAGAGAGGCTGGTGTGTGCAAAGGCATGAAGACACAAATAGCAAGGTATAAGCAAAGCACATCCTATATTATTGTGCTGTTATTGAACTCAGGATCCACACAGGCGATTGCTAATGAAGAGATCAGCTCATAAAGAGCACTGTAAGTTGTGCTGGGATTCCAGCCTTTTTCCACAGGCAGTGGGAAGCCAGCAAAAGCTTATGAGCAAGAAAGTGACACAATCAGACTTGTGCTCTTTTTTTTGTGGTACTGGGGCTTGAACTCAGGGCCTTCACCTTGAGCCACTTCACCAGCCCAGTTTTTTGTGATAGGGTTTTTCAAGATAGGGTCTCTCAAACTATCTGTCTGGACTGGCTTCAAACTGCAATCATCCTGATCTCTGCCTCCTGAGTAGCTAGGATTACAGGTGTGAGCCACCGGCACCCGGCCCAGACTTGTGTTCTTAAAAGGTCTGCAAGAGTTAGCGTTTGGAGACTATTTTGCAGGCCATGTTTGGAAACTGCTGGGAAGTTACTACAGTCATTCTGGTGAGAAATATGTCAACAAGGGTGGTAACAGAGGAGATGGAGTAGCAGAAGGCTCAGGAAGTTAGCTGCCATTAGTCACCTCTTGGATGTGGGAACTTAGGAAAAAGAGGAAATGCAAGGTAATTTCTGAGTTTCTTGCTGGGATAGGACAACAGAGAAAGAATTAATCTGCAGAGAAAAGATCAGTTCAGGTGTGGACCCAGAAAACTCCATCTAAGTGGAAGTGTCCATTCACACCTGGATGGTCAGTGTGGAGCTCCAGGGAGGGGCTGCGCTGGTGAAGTGGAGCTGGGTATTTAGTTGGTGCAAAGCTGAAGCTACAGGAGTGGATGAGACCATCCAGAATCCATGTACAGAGTGAGGGGTTGGGCAAGAAAGAATGCGAAGTGGTACTTCTGACCTTGTCAGAGAAGTAGAAGAAAAAACAGGAGGTGCAAGAGAAACCAAAGAAGGAGGGGGAGGGCATGTCAATTAGGAATTAATGTCAATGGCACTATGCAACTCCAAGAACGCAAGAAAGAGTTTAAAGGGCCCTTTTGATATTAATTAGGAAGTTACTCGCGACAGTTTCCAAAGGAAGTCGGGCAGACAGCGGATGACACGAGACGCAGACCTAACCAAATGTGTAGATTCCCCCTCCCCCTCCCCCTCAGATCCTAACCTTTCCCCATAACCAACCCCTATCCCTTAATCCCCTCGCCTCTCCTCTCACGGCTAAAAAAGAAGCTTTGAATCGCGATCCTGGACGTCCTCCCGGGAATCCCTTTCCGGTAGGTGGGACCGCTGAAAATCAGCACGGAAGACCCCAGCCCCGCACGGAGAGCAGCTAGGCCGAGTAGAAAAAGGGGGCGGAACCCGGAGCTCGGGGGGCGTGGGGAGGGTCGGACGCAACTAAGGGCGGACACAGGGCAGGAAAGCGCAATCCACTGTCAAGAGCCAGCCCTCGTATCACCACCCGGTTCCAGTTACCGCTGCAGGACCCACCTGCTCCATATGCGCACGGCCCCCGCTCTTCCTGCCCCAGCCGCAGTACTGCCCGGCTGCTCAGGCAGCTCTTCAGAGCGGAAGGAGAGCTCCCAGCGGCTCCACTTCCGCTACTGAGCCCGCCCCTAAGAGCAAACCGGGAATCGCGTCGGGCTGCAGCCCCGCCCCCGAGCCGGCGGGCCGGGCCGAAAACAGCCGGAAGTGGGGCTGAGGCTAAAGTTAGACTGTAAAGGCTTCCCAAGGACGGAAGAATGGAGAACTCCAGGGGCTCCAATGTTTTGGGGCCACATCGCATGGCCCTGCGGAAGAAAAGGGAACTGCTTGGGGGGCGGCCTGGAGGGCTGAGGGACGGGTCCCCTGCAGAAATCCAGAGCTAATTAACTTATTTTTTAATTTTAATTTTTAGAGTCACTATGTAGCCCCTGGGTGGCCTCGAAACTCGCTATGTAGCTCAGGCTGGCCTCGAACTCGCAATCCTCCTGCCTCAGCCTTCTCAGTGCTGAGATTACCTGATGTGCATCACCATGCCCCGGCCCACAGTTAACTCTTAAAAGATTTCTATTTTCCCCCACCCCAACCTCCTCTTTCAGCCATCCCCAGCAGGAGCTAGAGCTTCCGTAGTCCTTCCTAAACAGTGCCCTGAACCTATTATCTGCAGGAAACAGTCCTAGACTAGAGGACTGAACACTAGGATCAAGATACTGATCTGGAACTGGTGGCATGGCTCAAATGGTAGAGTGCTTGCTTAGCAAACATTACACCCTGAGTTCAATCCCCAGTACCACCAAAAAAAATCCTGATCTGTGGGTGGATGAACACCAATCTTCCATATCAGGACATTACCACCCCTTTTCTCCCCCTTCCCCTGAAAGAGGAGTCTCAGCACAATTATTTACAAACATTTATTACAGCATAGGAGGGGTTCAGACCTGGAGTCAGGGAAGAAGGAGAGAGGGCAGAACAGCTGGAGGACAAGGAGAACCTGACTCCTCCCACCATGTGCCCTCTCTAAGGACATATACTAGGCAGCATTCCTGGCATCAAAGCACAAACAAAATGCAACAAAGCAGCCACTGCCAGTCCATCTTCCAAGCACCCAGGAGGAACAAGGGCCATAAGGGGATGATGTCCAGAATGTTGAGGCTGGGGAGAGGATGCCTGAGTCCTGGGCCCTGGTAGAAGCCAGTGAAAGGGTTGGTGACTTGAAGTCCCTCATAGGAGAGAGGATGGAGATCTAAGGGCACACCTGTAAGTTCTTAGTGCCTCCTTTCCCCAGATCTTAGGGTCCTGCCCTGTGGGTCTCCTGTGCCTAGGGGAGAGGACCTGGGAAATAGAATTGTGAAGGGCAAATCTTTGCTTCTGGTTTCCTGAAATTTCCAATGAGGGCTCTCTTATCCCACCTCTTACTGGGTGAATGAAGGAACAACTGGCAGGGATAGGCATCAGGGACTCTGGGCATCAGCCAAAGGTGGGCAAACAAGCAAACACAGACCAGCCTTAGTCTTCTAAAAGTCAGAAGCCACAGCCCTAGCAGGTGAAGGGAAGAGCACAAAGTAGGGTGGGGATAGAGTGGGTTTCTGGAGAACAGCAATGCCCCCCTCCATTTCCTGGGAGGTGCAGTGCTGGGAACTTATGTGCCAGGCTCAGTGGGGCCAGGGCGCTGAGGCTCCTCCCCACACTCTGCAAGGCAAATAGAGAGGGACTCAGGGTCTGGCCCCACCCACCAAGGTCCTTGTCTGTCCTCCCCACATCCCACACCAAGCCTCACCACTTAGTGCTGCTGTGTCCTCAGAGCTTTCATCTCTCTGGGGCTCATCCAGAGGGGGTGGGCGCTCCCAGGGCCCCTCCAAGCCTTGGCCATAGGTTATCTTCTGTCCAGCTGTAAAGAGAGCATACAAACACAGGCTCTGAGTGCCCATTCAACTGTTGTGGAGCATTAGCTATAACTGATGGCTGAGACCAAGGTTTCTGAGGCATACTGGACAGAGCACTCTCAATGACTGGCCATGACTTAGGTACAGCAGTTGGCATCTTTCTGAAGGAGTTATTATGTAAGAAGGTCATTGTAGATTACCTTAAGTAAGGTAATACCTGTGCAGCCCAGCACCAGCACCCTCAATCCACTTAGGTGTTGCTCCCTGGCAGTCTAGTCATGTGACCCAGTGCCCTCCTGCTTGTCCTTGGGGAACATCTCCTCTCACATCTTTTCTGTTCTGTGGGTCTCAGTGGGAGCTGACTCACTCTTCCAGCCCACTGAGGCTCTCACTACCAGAGGTTCAGACAGGAGGCCCAAGTCATCTTGTCTGGGTGCAAAGGTTGAACAGTTCCCATAAATAATGGAAATGTGCACCAGGAGGGATAGATGTGGCACAAATTTGCATGGCTAGGCATGAAGAAATAACCATGGGAGAGAGGTGAGATCTTTCTGCCTGGTTCTCTGGGCTTTGAGACCTATGGTTTTTTGGGGGGGGGTTTTGGGGTTTTTTTGGACCTTGGGCCTCTGGCTCTGCAATTTTTTTGTTTTGCTTTTGGTTTTTTTTTTTGCAGTTCTGGGGTTTGAACTCAGAGCCTACATCTTGAGCCATTTCACCAGCCCTTTTTTGTGAAGGAGTTTTTCGAGATAGAGTCTTGTGAACTATTTGCCCGGGCTAGCTTCAAGCCTCAATCCTCCTGATATCTGCCTCCTGAGTAGCTAGAATTACAGGCATGAGTCACCAGCGCCCAGACTTTGCAGTTTTGAGTTTTAGGCCAGTCTCCAAGCCCTTTTTTCTTCTGTAACTGAGGTGTGGAGGAACAGATGAGTTCTTAAATCCTGGATTCCCCATCTGGACACTAGAGGGCACCCTCCTACCCCATCCTAAGTAAAAGGAACAAACAGTCACAGGGAGGCAAATCAGCCAGTCCCCTGCATCCCAGCAAAGACCACATCTTAGGTTCAGAAATAGGGAGATGTGGGACTCTCACTCCTCTAGCCCCAAGTTTTTTCATACCCTTTTGCTTTCATAGATGGGAAGTCCTTATTGGGGGATCTAGCTTCAAACCTTGTATGCCCTTGCCTTACTTTTTCAGGGAAAAAAACCTAATCAAGAGAGGGATGAGCCAAAGATAGAGGAAGCCAGGTCTCAGGTGAGGATGAGTGAGAGGCATCCTGCAGCATCCCTGCAGTACAGTGTAAGAAACTGGCCTGGGAGGGGTGTCCAGGATACTCAAGGAGGACCCACACCTAACCCATGGTCGTACAACCCGCACATCAGAGTCCCTTCAGCTTACCAGACCCCCTGATGCCCTTCAGGACTTCAGCCTGGCTGTCTTCTTCTTCCTCTTCTTCCTCATCCTCGTCCTCATCCTCATCCTCCTCTCTTGGGTAACCTAGTTCCCGAAGCTCCCCCAGCTCATCCTCCTCTTCCGAGGCCTGATTGCTGATGGTCTGCAGGTGGGACTCAGCGATGCGCTGCACAGCTGGCACAGAGGGAACCCAGGAAGGCAAGAGTCAGCAGAACCAAGAAGCAGTCCACAGAGCTCCTTCCCATAGGTTTGGAGCAGAGCTAACCTCTCCAGGGACCAAGTTCAAGGGCCAAAGATTGTAGGCCAGCCTACTGGGACAGCCTACTTGGGGGCCAGACCAAGGTGGGAACAGCAGGGGATAGATTTGATCATGTTGTTTTTGTTTTGTTTTGATTTTTGGTACTGGGGTTTGTGAAGGTTTTTTGTTTCTGTTTTTTTTTTTTTTTATTTTGAGATCAGGTCTTTCAAACTATTTGCCTGGGCTGGCTTTAAACCACAATCCTCCTGATCTCTGCCTCCTGAGTAGCTAGAATTACAGGCATGAGCCATGCCTGGCATGGTTCTGGGGTTTGAACTCAGGGCCTCATGCATGCTAGGCAGGTGCTCTTACCAGATCATGTTAGTTCTTAAGCTGTCCTAAGATGCTGGGCCCCCAGAAACTAGCACCAGGAAACTTTCCCCCAACCAAAGGGAACCAGGCTGGGCAAGACCAGGCAGGCACAGCAGCAGCTTAACATTCCCTGACCTTGCATTGCTAAGTACCCAGAACTGGAAACTGCCAAACAGTTTCAACCCTAGCAGCAGGCACTGGGCCTGTGGGCCAGGGCCAAGGGATTTGCCAATTTTACTGCTTATTCCTATCCTCCCGCCACCCTCACCCTCCCAACCTCCATTCTGCACTCCACTGACCCTACTATGCAGTCTTAGATGTCAGTCCACACACCCTGCCCCAGGCTCCTAGAGCAGGAATGATTCTGTTACTGAGGTCATAGCAGTCTGTAGCCTGTGAAGTCCGTACTGGGGAAGTGGCCTGCTCAGATGCGGGCCCCCACAATCTTGACCCACATCCCCAAGTTCCCAGCTCACTCTGTGGTGACCTAGAAAGGAGCAAACACCCCACCATCACCAAGATCTGCTCAGATGCAGCCTAGGAAGGGAACACTGAGGGAAGTTTCCCAAAGATGGAAAGGAGCAGGGGGTTGGGAGAAAGGTGCCAGGGTTGGGGGCTCTGGGGAGTGATAGTGGTTGAGGGAACATTGTGAGCTGAGACTGGGATAGAGTCAGAGGGGAACCAGGGGCTGGTGGGATTTTGGAGCATGTGCGGCACTGAATTCACTGCCCTCAGTCTAGATGCTGCCCAGCAGAGCAGGGCCACAGGGCTCCTTGGTCTGCCAGCCATCCCTCCCCTTAGCAGCCCAAGGGGTAGATCCTGGCTGGAAACCTCCAACCTCCGGTGCAGTGAGCAGGGCCCCACAATCCTGCCAACTCAGGGACAGGCACAGAGGGTGCATTGTGTGTGCCTGCTGCCCCACCCTGCCCTCAGCTCCCAGGCCAGTGCCTCCCACTGGCTCTGGGCAAACTACCCAGGCAATAAAAGCACAATAAATCAACCTACTCTGGCCTTGGGGAGTTGGCAAAGTTTCATCTTGAGCCAAGTGTGAGAGCTCTGGCCTTGAAGAACCCCTCACCACTCCCCAGCCAAGACAGTGTTATCTACTCTCCCTGGAGGGCTGGGGGGCCTTGAATCCTCCTCTACAAGCCCCCAACCCTGCCAGGCTTTGCCCTTGCCCTGAAAGGGATAAGGTCTGCCAAGGCCTCAGAAGGGCCCCTGAGGCTGGGAGAGAGGAGGTGGCAGCCAGGACAGCTTCCTTTTCCCCAGCCAGGGGAGGAGAGTTAGTTCAGGAGCCACAGTGACAACAATAGGTATGTGCAGCACCCGCCTGCCTGCCTCCACTGGTGCTCCATGAGCCTCCCATGTGCCTCACTGGGCCCTCTGGAGTCTACCCTTTCCCACCCAGGGATCCTGAACTCTCTCCATCCCAATCCTCCTTTTTTAAGCTTGAGAACTCCAGCATAGGCCCCAGAGAGCTCATCCCTCTTCTGACCACTTTCCAAGTCCCTGCTTCTCCCCACCCAGACTCAGACTAACCCACAGAGGTGAGGTGGGGCACATTTTTGTCCTATTGATGGGGTAGTGGTGGTCCAGGGTGCTTTTGCAGAGTGGAGCCTCAAACTGAGTCTCTTTCATGCTGACACCTGTTGCCATTTGGAGTCAGTCGGCTCTTCTTTTTCAACCCTACAACCTGCTTGTAAGGCCCACAGCTGCCATTTTCAACCTAGGGTACTTGTCTTTTGCAGGGTGCACGGGAAGCACCCTGACCCTAAACTCCTACCCCAGCCCACTTACCCACGCTCACAATCATGAGCCCAGGGAGGACAGGGGCTGTAGCTCAGCAATACAGCATGTGCTTAGCATGCTTGAGACACTGAGTTCAACCCCCACCATGCCCCAAAAAAGGTCCCAAGGGACAGTTCTCCTCTCATCCACCCTGCCTAGAGAGGGAAGGAGGTGGCTTCTTATGTTATCAACTCTCCCTCGTTCCTGCTTTGGGCCCTTCCACACATCTCTACAGGTGGGGAGTTCCTTCCACACTGACCTCCTCTTGCGGCAGCTGTCCCTTCACTTTCCTGTCCTGGAAGGAGAGAAAGAGCCCCTGCCCTTCTTCCTCTCCTTCCAGTCTCCCTGCTCTGCTCCCACCTGGGGCAGGAGTGCTAACAGGTGAACCTGTTGACCTTGGCAGGTGCTAGGAATATATTAAACCTACCCATCACTCTTCCAGTTTCCCTCCCTCCCTCCATGGAAGGAGTTGAGGTGGGGTCAAATAGGCATCAGGCACCTAGTTAGGAAGAGGCCCTTCACATATTCAGTCTGCACCTACTTCTCCTACAGGTGTATCTCCCACAGCTCCCTGGCCAGAAACCAAGTCTCCAGGCTGGCCCTAAAGCCTCCTGTGATTCATACCTCCTGCCCCTTGCACACTTTCTTCCTTCTATCTGCCTTGCCTACCTGTTGGTTCTATGATCCTTCATTCTCCCTCTTCCTGACCCTAGGAAGCAAAGGACACAGGAGGGAAGGAATCAACTCTTACTGAGTTTTTGTTTGTTTGTTTGTTTTTAAGCAGTGCCGGGGATGAACCAGGAGCTTGCTAAGCAAGCACTCAACCACCTCCAGCCCTCAAATCTTGCTCATAATTTTTTTTTTGGCAGTACTGGGGTTTGAACTCAGGGTCTTGCACTTGCTAGGCAGCAGCAAGGTAGTAGTGGTAGCTGCTAGGCAGCTAGGTAGTGGGGCTCTACCACTTGAGTTACTCCCAAAGCCCTTTTTGTTTTAGTTATTTTTCAGATAGGGTCTCACATTTATGGCCAGGCCACCTAGACCATGATCTTTCTATTTCTGCTTCCTGTGTAGATGGGATGACAGGTGCATGCCACCATGTCCACTTTTTATTGATTGAGAGAAGATCTTCCAAACTTTTTGCCTTGGCTAGCCTTGAACCTCTGCCTCCTGAGTAGCTAGGATTACAGGCATGAGCCACTGTGCCCAGCCACAAATCTTATTCCTCTTATTTTATCCATTGCCTAGCAGTGAGGTCTGACATATACTAGGTGCTCAATAAGTGTGTGCTACAGGAATGATTTGCCTTTTAATATAGAAGGCGAAAGCAGGCAAGGGAAGAGCCCAGGATGCAGATGTGTGCAAATGGGAGGTGAAATGGAGGGGGGAGCAGGGGACAGCACAGGAGGAGCTGCCCTCTGATGGGGTGGGGGGGTGGTCCAGCACGTGCTTGTACAGTAGAACTGCAGAATTAGTCTCTTTCACGTTGATGCCTGTTATCATTTTGGGCCAGCGAGCTCTTCTTTTTCAACCCTACAACCCTCTTTTAAAGCCCACAGCTCCCTTTTTTCAGTCTAGGGTGCTGGTGTTTTGCAAGGACAGACCAAAAAAGAACCAGCCTCTTCTCGAAGTTGGGTTGAGGTGTGGGGAACAATCCCTCCCACTGACTTTGCACCTCCCTCCCCTACATCAGCCCAGTCCCAGGCCTCCAGGGGACAGCCAGGCCTGGGGATCCTACCTTTCAGAGAGGGAGGTGTATAGGCACAGGGGTTGGGTCTTTTCGACTTGACGTGGTGTCCCTCTCCCGATGCTCTCTGCAAGGAAGGGCCAGATGAAAGGAGCTACTCCAGCCCCCTTCCACCTCCACTATAGAGGCTAGACAATGTATCCTGCACCTAAACCAAGCCCCCTCTCCACACCTGCCCCCCTTGCTTTGTTTGGGAGGATCCTGCAAGCCAGGGCCTGGCTCAGGGCAGGACCTTAGGTCTTGGACACCCCACCCACATCTGAGACAGAATGACCTGCTGGTGGTACCCTGGAACCAGGCCCTCTCAGAAGAAGTGCGATTGATATGCTAATGTGTCCTGTGGCACCCTGGGTTGGTGGCTGGCTTTGTAGGCACCTGTCCACCCCAACCCAAAGGGCAAGATGTGCCTCTTTCCAGCTGCCCCAGGAAACTCACCTGATGAGGGGAGGCCTCCTCTTCTGAGGGGGTCACATCAAATGCACCAGCAGAGGGAAAGAGGAGAGGAGAGAGAAAGAATTTGAGTTACCTTCCCCAAAGCCTTGTTCTCTGGAGAGATGGGAAGTTGCCTTTTTCCTCCCACTGTTGAGAAGTGCCATGCCAATAAGTGAACCCAAAAGAGTTGGGTTCCCAGACCTTATTCACTTCCCAGTCTTTGGCTCTATTCCCTGCTCACTGGATTTGGCAGGGCCCTCAGGAAGGCATCAGAGTTAGGGTGGAGCCTGGGCTGAGTGGGGAGGGAAGTAGAGAATAGGCCTTACCTGGGGAGGAGTGCTCTGAGAGGCGGAACAGCATGGCAGGGGTTGGTCTCCTGCGCCGGATCTAAGAAGAAGGAGGAAGGGAGAGTAGAATAGACACCCTAGGTCCACCCTGCCTCCCAGGGAGCAGGAGCAGTGCTTTGGAGTCCCCAGGGAGTCTTTGAATCAAAGACTATGAGGGCTGAAAGGAATTCCGTAGTTTACTCAATCCCTTCATTTTACAGAGATGAAAACCCTGAGGGTCAGAGAGATTCAACAGTGTACTCAAGGTCACACAGCACACTGAGTCCAAAGGGCTAGAAAAATCCCAATTACTGATTCCCAGCCCTGCCTGTCCTACTCTAGAACCAACATCTCCCTCCTATCTTCTTCCACTGAGGCCCTTCTTCTCAGTTTCTGAAGCTAGCTGAAGCTCGCTGCTACTCCTGCTGACAGAGATGAGCCCTCTTGGGGAAGATGCTCACAGGCCCTGACCACCTAAAGTCAGAAAAAGGGATCCAAAACGACTGGAACCAGCTGCAGAGGAAGTCTGAGCCAGACTCTGCAGGCACCTCTAATTTTACACTGAGCACAGGTAGTGCTCCTGGACCCCTGATGCCAGGGAGCCTGGGGGTGTCTCTGGAGGTGTGGGTCAGTCTTTCTCAGACTATAGGCCTCTTCACCCAGTGCCGATGGAAAGTTGTTTTCCTTACTACCTGAGCCAAGCTGTACCACAGTGGTGGGGGCACTGGGTGCCCCCCCCCCATCTTGCCAATCAGACCAACTGTCAGTTAATTAGGTCTCCTTTGAGCTCCAGGGAAATGCACAGAGAGAACCGGGTGAGTTAAGCTGAATTTATCACCTCCCCCTGCCAAGCTTGCAGCACTGCCCTCCAGACCAAAAGCTGCTTAGGCCCAGCCTCCAGCCCACTCCACCCAACTCTCCCCTAGAATGACTTGGCCTCATTTTCATTGCCAGCAGCATCTCAGCAACAAGTGCCCCCTGCTAGGCTGTGGGCTGTAGACCTCTGTCTCAAGCCCCCACCTTTGGAGCCTCCCAGCCCCTGGAAGGGATGACTGGTCACCACTTCTCCTTAAGGTTGGGGCTGTAGAGTCTGATAGCAGAAAGAGGTCAGAACAGGGTTCCAGGATCTCAGGCCAGGCATTCAAGGTGGGACTGAAGGCCAGCAAGGCCGTGGGTAGCGGAGTGGAGTCTCAGACTCCTGTGCTGTGTAACAGAGTCAATGCGTGATGCACCGTTTTCTCGCGTGTGACCAGCTCTGGGGCTGAAACCAGGGCGGAGTGATCCTGGTGGTAGCCTAGGGGAAGAGAGTAGCCTAGGGAGACTGTTCAGGACGGAAAGGACAGTTGCCCTGGAACCAGCCTGCTCGGGTCGCACTGCCAGAATTCTCCCGCCCGGATTCAGAGCAGAGGCTCTGGAGAAAAAGTTGCCTGAGTCTCCAGCGAACTTCACGCGTTGTCCGGGTCCCCCTGTCGTGGCCGAGGCAGGGTCCCCGCCCTCCTTTATCCCCTATCCTCTGGGCGGGTGGCCTGGCAGCACCTCGGGTGTGTGTTGCGGGTGCTGCGGGGGGGGGGGGTCACGGCTTCCTTACCATCTCCACCTGGCGGGGATCGAGCTGGCTGGGGGGCGCGGGCACCGAGAATTGGATCTTCTTACGGTCCTTGGGGTCCATGGCGGGGCTAGGGCGCGCCTTGGGGTCTCCGGCTGTTCCGGGCTCGGCTCCCCTACGCTGCCAGCCGCGCGTGCGGCGAGGAAGAGGAGGAAGGCTGATCCCGCACTGATAAAAATACCGCGCCGGGCGCGAGGAGGCGTGAGAATGCGAGGAGGGCTCCGCCGCCGGGCTCGCCTGCCGCACCGGGCTCGGCGCCCCCCTGCCGGGCTCGCCCGCCGCGATCCTGCGCCGGGACGCTCGCTGCCTCGGTCCCCCGCGCCTCCGCCCGCGGGCTGCCCGGCTCCCGCGTCTCTCCTCTCCCTCCCGTCCTCTGAGTGTCTCTGCAGGTCTCTTCTCGGCCTCTCTCCACCTGCCTCTGTCTCCCCCCCTCTGCCTCTCTTCCTCTCCGCGTCTCTCTGTCTCTGCTGGGTTCACTTCTCTGGTCCTAGCCCTGGGGTCCCAGCCCGTCCCCTCGGCCTGGGACTGGCCCCCGGGTGCTCGGAGGGAGGGCTTAGGAGAAAGTGGCCAATGAGCAATGAGAATCGTGCTCCCCTGGGGCTGGGAGGAGGGTGGGAAGTGTGAGCCAGGGCTGGGGGAGCGGGGCCGGGGCCCCCTGCCGTCTCCCTGAACTCCAAGCTGCATTATTGATGGAGTCCAGCCGGGAGTGTGAAGGGGGGAAGGAAAGGGAAGAGGGACAGCGGGCAGCTGGGAGACAGGACTCTGGCTTTAACCACTGCGTGGCCCTGATTCTTGGAGTTTCATGGGAGGCCTGTGAGGTGGAGGAAAGAGTGCCAGCATGTCACGCTGTGAATGGGGGTGTCCTAGAAAGCGAGTGAGTGTGAACGAGGTGTGCGTGGGAGGACACAAGTCAGTCATCATGGCAGGGAGTGTGTGAAGAGTGCCAGGGGCCTGTGGTGCTATAGCTGGGGAGTGGGGGTCGGTATGGTGTGAGTGCGTGAGTTTAGGTGAGTAAGTGTGTCAGAGTGTCAAAGATGCGGGTGTGAGTGGCAGGGCGTGGGAGGACTGCGTGTATGCGGGGGAGGGTGTGGGTGTGGGGAAGGATGTCAGAGGCTGTCAAGGTGATGGGCAGGGGGGTGCCAGCTTGAGGAGGGAGGGGGGCTGCATCCACAGCCTGGTCTGTGCGGTAGAGGGGCTTGAGGCTGTGAATGTAAGAATATTTCCGGGAGACATAGAGGATGAGTCCCTGCCATGATGCACCCTGCATTCACGTGTCTTCTGCCTTTTCTCCCCAGATGTAATGGGGGAGGGGATGGAGCCAGCCTGGGGGGCAGGGTTGGGGGCTGCCTTACCAGTACACGTGCCATCACGTGTGTGAGCTCCGTGCATTTGGGAACAGAGCTGGGAGAGAGGTGTGTGTGATCATTCTGAGGTGCAAGCCTCCACCTCTACAGAGGTGCTTGTGTGTGTGTCTGGAGGGGAGGGGAGGAGCTGCCCTGTGGGCTGTGTGACCCTGTTTATCTGTCCAGGCCCTGGGGTCTTTGCAGGAACTGGCACTGCCCTCTGCGGAATATGATGTGCTGGTCTGAATGCCTTTCTGTAACACCCAGAAGGGGGCATGTGTGGACTTGTGCCCATGAGTGTGCCCTCCTGGGGCTCTGTGTGCATTGGCTGTCTTCTCTCCTGGTCACTCTCAGGCCTGGAACACCAGGAGCCCTCCCTTCCCCCCCCCAACTCACCAGCAACTTTTCCACTCCCAGCCCCAGCATATTGGCTCATTGGCTGCTGGAGGAGTGTTATGGAAATGAGGTCAGAGGCACAAAGTCCTGCCCCAGAGTCAGTGCCCACTCGGGGGTGAGGAAGGGGCAGCAGGAAGGGCCCAGCTTTGCTCATGGGAATGGGATGTCCTGGCTGCTCAGCTCTGCATCCTCCAGCCACAGGCCTGGTTCCAATCCCCGTGTGTTTGTTGACTTACATATTTGTTGGGAAATAGCCGGATGCCAGGTTGCTGGCCAAGGACTGTGGGCATCTCTGGCAGCCCCTGGCATGGCCCAGAACCCCTCTTCCAGATGGGGTGTGGTGGAGAGTGGAGAAGCCCAGGTTGGCAGAGCCTTGTGAGGGAAAATGAGAAGGGCTTCGCCCAGCAGTAACCTGGACAGCCCAGGTGAAGTTAAGGTACAGGGCTTCCAGTGCTGGGTGGGTAAGGCAGAGGGGAGACAAAGGGAATAAAGGAGCTATGAGAGGTCAAGGATGGGAACTTGACCCCCAGTGGCACCTTAGTGCCCATTGGAGCTGAAAAGCCCTTGGGCAACAGTATACCGGACCTCATTTCATTTGACCAGAAAGCTTGTTTATGGAGGCTGTGCTCTGGGAGACCCCAATTAGAAAAAGTTCTCTTGAGCCCAGTCTGGGACATCTGGGGGAAAGGAGATGAGACCAGAAACTCCTTCCTGTTGGCCAGGCCCAGAAAATGGGGCCTCTGGAGTTGAAGAAAGAGTCTTTACCTCTTCACGCAGCCTTTGCCCAGCACTGCATCTCTGACTCCTCAACCCTGAGGACACTGGCTGACAGAGGTCTACACACAAGGGACAGTTGGAAAGGAAAGGAGGGATTAGACACAGAACTAGGAGGTGAGAGAGACGGCAAGAGGTAGGAGAAAGCACAAAGGAAAAGAAAACCCATGTGAGATATGGAGAGATAAAAGGAGGCAGAGAGAGAAGGAGAAAGCCTCACGACAGAGAGGCAGGAGACAGAGATGGAGAGAGAGAGTAAAAATAGCTCAGCATTAAGATAATTGCAGCTCACAGCTCTGCCCTCCGGTAGGAATTAAATGAGGTTTTATTACTTTGATTTTTCTCTTCTGGATCCTACGCGACTTCTGAAGAACTTGGGGAAAAGTTTTTCTGGTGGGCGGCCAGGTGGCGGGGGCTGCGTGGGCGACAGAAAAGGAAAGGAACAGGCACTTCTGGGAACTGGGGAAGGGGCAGGCAGAGGAGAGAGGTGGGCAGAAGCTAGTTGGGGCGGTGGGGCCCAGCAGGGACTGGAGGAGAGGGCCAGGGTCAAGCACATGAGGTGGAGGCTGAGAAACAAGGGGACTGGGTGACTTTCATTCACTTTGACTTGGAATTAATCATATGCAGATGAGATGTAAAAATAATATGCCACTCCTTGGTTATTATTCTTGAGTTAGAAGCACAGCCAGTTAGGTCCAAAGAACAAACTCAAGACCTCGTTTGACTTAACTTTGATTGAACTATGGGTTTTCCTGGTTGGACTGACAAAAGAAGTTTATGGGAGGCTATTAATGCATCACAGGTCTGAGCACACGATCTGGAGGTGGGTTCTTTTCCCGCTATTTCCTTCTTATCATTGCCCAGAGCCTGCCACAGTGCCTGGCATGCAGGAGCCACTATTGGCACCTTCTCTGGAAGGTAACTTTGGGAAGCTGCTGTGAGGCCTTTGCCCAGCTTCAGGGAGGTGGGGAGAGGGGACAATTGGGAACACTCCCTCCTATCCCCAAGCAAATGTAGTCGCATGGACAGAACTTAAACTGGGAACTTGACAGCCCTGGGTAGGAATCTCCAGTCTGAACTTGGCAAATTTCTTAGCTTCTCTGTGCCTTTCTTTCCTTATATTTCAAGCCCACCTTGCATGGTGGCTGTAACGATTCATTGGGATAAAACTGAAACACCCAGCCCAGTTCAGGACTCCTGCTAGACCGCCAAGGTTCAGTCTTCCTTGCAGCTTCTAGAGATGCAGTTCTGAAAATGGTCAGCAGGTGGCGGAATCAGCCAGGGTTTGGGCAGCAAGGCAGCTGGCATTGTAGGTCGGTAGTTGGGCATCGCACCCATAACCTTGGCATCACTAAGCTGAGTTGAGCTGGCAGGGTTGGCATGTGGCAGCTGGAAGGGAGGCCCCGGAAAGTCCTGGGAAGCGGCTTTAGCGGACCTGGAGAGCGCTGGCTGGGTACACAGAGGCACTTTTCCTTGCCCTTAGGAGAAGGAAGTGGGCGTGGTGCCCCCTACAGGAATTCCAAGGCCCATTTCTGGGGAAATCCATGGACAAGGGAAAAGAGAGGGCAAGGGTACCCTCAGCAGGCACAATGGTGGTACAGGTAGGCAGTCATCTGAGATAGTCACACATTCATGCATCCATCCAATATTTATATTGGGTACTTAGGTGCTTTTTTAAAAAAAATCAACTTTATTAAGCTAGAGTTTACAAACAACAGAATGTACCAATTTTAAGTATACATTTGTCCCACCTAATCTCCCTCTCCAATGAATGCATCATAAGTCTTCACACACTATTTGGCAGTACTGGGGTTTGCATTCAGGGCTTGGCACTTGCTAGGCAGGTGCTCTACCGCTTGAGCCACTACTCTGGCTCACACTGTTTTGATAAGTGTCTTTCCCACCATCTATCTTTACAAAGTGCCCAGAATATATATACATACTACATACTGAGAAGAGGATGGATTGAGGAAAGAATGAATAGATGAATATGTAAGTCACCAAATTTTAAAACATAGAAAAGGAACATTTACTCTGTGCTAGGCACTGCACTAGGCCCTTTATATACATTATTTCATTTAATCCTCACTAAAATGTCCCATTTTACAGGCTTTTGTCCAGAACCTGGGTTCAAACACAGTCCAGCTCCAGGGCCAGTGCTCTACTCTCTCTTTCTCTCCCTCTTCCTGGTGGGACTGGGATTTGAACTTAGGGCTTCGAGTTCGCAAACCAGGCGCCTACCACTTGAACCACATCTCCAGTCCATTTTGGTCTGGTTCTTTTGGAGACAGTCTTGTGGACTATTTGCTACGTCTGGCCTCCAACAGCTATCCTCCCAATCTCAGCCTCCCAAATAGCTAGGATTACAGCTGTGAGCCACCGGCGCCCGGCGGAGCTCTTACTCTTTATTGCTGTCTAACACACTCAGGATGGACGAGTGGAAGATCGCTAGCAAGCACTGGAGCGGGCTTCTCTCTCGCCCAGCCCTATTTGGACGGATCTTGGGGAAAGCAGAAATCGGTGTGCCGAGGCTGCCCTCTCGTGGCAGAA